GCATCTTGTTTTTATGGTATTTTCTTCTTCATTTTGTCAGAATTAGAATTTGTTAAATGTTTGACCCGCTGAGAGTCTGACATGACTGAGAAGATGGGTAGATGATCGTGTGACTCATGCTGCTTCAGTTCGTCCCTTCCTTTTCCTATCTGGCGCCTTCCAAGGAACTTCACTTGCATCTTGCTCTTTCTTATTTGGGCCAAGAAGACCTCACTCACCTCTTTCTCAGAGTCAAGTAAAGATCAAATCTGAAAAGGCAATTTCCCCACCTACGACTTGACCTTATTTGTGTGTAATAATCTGGGTGACTGAGTTACTAGTCACAGGGGTAGTGTATCTGGTTATCTTCAATTTACCTTGCCTCTAAAATTAGGCTATTAGCATTTGACTCACTTCCATAATTCGAATTTTCAATTTAGGGTATGGCTCCCTACCAAAGCTAAACTGTTTGTGGGTGAGCAATTCCTGGCATCTGGTTCCCGGCACTCACATATTTGTTGAATGAATGAATGAATGATGTTTACCATCTGCATGCCTCCCCTGCCCACACACTTCTTGTATTCTAGGTTGGTTTTTGCTTGGCTTTTTTTTTTTTTTCTTCTACTATTTCTTGGAAAATGGTTTAAAAAAAAAAAAAGAGTATTGGCCTTATGAAAAAAAAACTGGCCCTGTGAGATGATCTAGGGCTGTGCTTTTTAACACATAATTTGCAGCATTCATTGAATATTCTCCTTAAAATTACGTATTTTTCTTGATAATTTTCTACTACCTGCTATTCTAAATATGGAGTTTGGCTTCTGGTTTGCAACCCTGAGCGCTGGTGATACGGCAGAAACATGGTCAAGGAAAAGAAGCCATCACCTCCTGGTTGAGAATGTGATAAAGGCACCCTGTGACGTGTTCTCTTCTTCTGTGGCCCATTCCGCCTTATCATCCTTCCCACTCAATCTTTGTGTTGTCTAATTTGTATTCCATTGTCCTGTTGAGAGATATAAGCACTGGGTTAGAAATGATGATGACTGGCTATTCCCTTTTCTCTAAAATAGGAAATCAGGTGTGACCAGGAGATGATCTGCATCAGGGTCAGCTAGACTACTTGTTAAAAATTGAAGGCCCTTCGTTCTGCTACAGCTACGCTGATAATGGGTCTCGGGGAAGGTCAGGGGTGTGTGTTTTTTCAATGACCCTGAGCATTTGTGTTGCCCTCTCTCTTTTGCCCCACTGCTCTTGACCAATGATGTATAAGGTCCAAGCCAGAAAATTAAAGGCAGTCTCAATGCTGATACTTCATTTGTAGATCCTCCCATTTTTCAATAACCACCACCAAACATAGGCGTGCATCTAAAGAAGCTGAAGATCACATAAAGAACCAGGAGCAATACTGAACAGTTAAGTGAAGGGCGTTGATAAGTTGTTTGATGACCATAGCTATTGTTGATGACAACATCTATTTAAAAAACTTTTTTGGGCCGGGTGCGGTGGCTCACACCTGTAATCCCAGCACTTTGGGAGGCTGAGGTGGGCAGATCACAAGGTCAGGAGATGGAGACCATCTCACAGTCAACATGGTGAAACCCCGTTTCTACTGAAAATACAAAAATTAGCTGGGCATGGTGGCGCACGCCTGTAGTTTCCGCTACTCAGGAGGCTGAGGCAGGAGAATTGCTTGAACCTGGGAGATGGAGGTTGCGGTGAGCCGAGATCGTGCCATTGCACTCCAGCCTGTGCAACAAGAGGGAAACTCTGTCTCAAAAAAAAAAAAAAAAAAAAAAAAACCTTTTTTGGAAATCCAATCAATTGGTCAGAAACTATTATTTTTACTTTGCCTTTATCCTCAACTTTTTGGATCTTTTGTTTGGACCTCTGTACTTCTCTCCCCCACCTCACTCTTGTGCTCATCCTCTTGTTCTCTCCAATTCCAGTTCCTCTTTCTATAGAACCCGTATCTTATAATCTAATTTTTGTTACTGAGGAACATTATGTAATACGAGAATGATTGTTGTGGTCAAATGACCCAGGTTCAAGATCTTGACCAGATACTTATTAGCTGTGTGACATTGCTTATAAGAGATTGCTTAACATCTCTCAGTTTCTGCTGCCTCAACACTAAAATAAAGTACTTATGTTATAGTGCTTTTGTGAGATTTAAATGAGACTAATGTGTGTAAAGTGTTTGATACAGATCCCTGTCGTCATTACTTAGCTATTTGTTGCTTTTGTTATTAATTATAATGGCCACATGGAGAAGCACCTGTTAAACAGCAAAGTCAAGTCCTTAGGTTAGGGGACCTTAAATATTGTGACAGTTGCTTTCTGTTGTTAGCTTCTGAAAGATGTACAGCTGAAGTTGTTTATAGGCAAGTTGCCCTCAAGTTGTTTATAGTCTTGTAGGAAAAGACAGATAGATGTACCACTTCATCCATAAAATACAGTGTGTCCAGTGCTGCAAAGGATTCGGTGGAATCCTGAAAAAGGAGTGATCAATATTTGCACTGTTTGGGTCACTCACTTTGTTGCTAAGTGTATACGTAATGAGAGGAAATTATAATATTTTCTTGATTCGCAATTGTTTTATTCTATTTTAATGGGCACACATATGATACCCCGATTCAAGTGGGTCTTTATGTGAACTGGGTGCAGTGGCTTATGCCTGTAATCCTAGCACTTTGGGAGTCTGAGGCAGGTGGATCACAAGGTCAAGAGATCAAGACCATCCTAGCCAACATGGTGAAACCCTGTCTCTACTAAAGATACAAAAATTAGCTGGGTTTGCTGGTGCATGACTGTAATCCCAGCTACTCAGGAGGCTGAGGCATGAGAATTGCTTGAACCCAGGAGGTGGAGGTTGCAATGAGCCAAGATCATACCATTGCACTCCAGCCTGGCAACGGAGTGAGACTCCATCTCAACAAAAGGAAAGGAAAGGAGAGGGGAGGGGAGGGGAAACTGTTACTTCCTAGCCTAAGGACACCTCACTTCTACCTCAGTAGTGCCATCATATATACATGTTGATTTTTAATTTGAGTGCTACCCCTTAAAGTTGTTCAGTGCACAACCTGTGCAACCATACAAGGCAACTATGTAACAACAAATGATATTCTTCTCACAATGACTTTCATTATTTTATCTGATAAAGTAACTAGGATGAGTTTTCTAACGTTGACAATATAATCTTTTTTTTTAAAAAGTATTTTTTGACTTTTTCCTTTTTAATAGTTATGGATACATAGTAGGTGTCTATATGTATGGGGTACATGAAATGTTTTGATATACGTATGTAGTGCAAAATAATCACATCACAGAAAATAGAGTATGCATCCTGTGAAGCATTTATCCTTTGTGTTACAAATAATCCAATTATACTCTTTTAAATGAAAAGTTACATGATGATTGACTATAGTCACCCTGTTGTGCTATCAAATAGCAATTCTTACTCATTTTTCTATTTTTTTTTGTATCCATTAACCATCCCCACCTCCCCTCTAATCCCCCACTCCCCTTCCCAGCCTCTCGTAATCATCCTTCGGCCCTTTCCCTGAGTTCAATTGTTTTGATTCTTTGACTCCACAAATAAGTGAGAACATGTGATATTTGTGTTTCTGTGCCTGGCTTATTTCATTTAAGATAATGACTCCCATTGTATCCATGCAAATGACAAGATCTCGTTCTTCCTTATGGCTGAGTAACACTCCACCGTGTATCTGTAACACATTTTCTTTATCCATTCATCTGCTGATGGACACTTAGGTTGCTTCTAGATGTGAGCTATTGTAAATAGTGCTTCAGTAAACACAGGAGTGCCGATCTCTCTTCAATATACTGATTCCTTTCTTTTGAGTGTATACTCAGCAGTGGGATTGCTTGATCACAGGGTAGCTCTACTTTTAGGGTTCCGAGAACCCTCCAAACTACTCTCCATCGTGGTTGTACTAATTTACATACCCACCAACAGTGCGCAAGAGTTCCCTTTTCTCCACATCCTCGCCAGCATTTGCTATTGCCTGGATGTAAGCCATTTTAACCGGGCGAGATGAGGTCTCATTGTAATTTTGATTTGCACTTCTCTGATAATCAGTGATGTTGAACACTTTTCTTATGCTTGTTTGCCATTTGTATGTCTTCTTTTGAGAAATATCTATTCAAATCTTTTGCTCATTTTTTGTTTAGGTTATTAGATGTTTTTCTAGTTTTTTGAGCTCCTTATATATTCTGGTCAGAATCCCCTGTCAGGTGGGTAGTTTGCATATTTTGTTCCATTCTGTGGCTTGTCTGTTCACTTCCTTGATGTTTTCTCCGCTGTGTAAAAGGCTTCTTAACTTGATGTGGTCCCATTTGTCCATTTTTGCTTTGGTTGCCTGTGCCTGTGTGGTATTGCTCGAGAAATTTTTGCCTAGAATATCGTCCTGGAGATTTTCTCCAATGCTTTCTTGTTGTAGTTTTATAGTTTGAGGTCTTAGACTTAAATTGTAATCCATTTTGATTTGATTGTTGTATATGGCAAGAGATAGGAGTCTAGCTTCATTCTTCTTCATAGGGAGATACAGTTTCCCAGCACCATTTATTGAAGAGACTGTTTTTTGCCTGGTGTATGCTTATTGTAAAAAATGAGTTCACTGTAGGTCTGTGTATTTGTTTCTGGGTTAAACCTGTGATCTTGTTCCTGTGAAGGTCACGCTGGCCTTAGCTGGGTGAGACTGTCATCCTGTAGCAGCTTGACTGAAATGTTGACTGTTGTGGACCTGTCCTCTAGATGGATGGAGGAGTTTTGAATAAATCGCTTAATAAACGACTCCCTCTCACAGGACTATTATGAAGGACAGCGACATATCTAAAACGTATCTGGCCTATAATGTTTTTCCATTATGTGTATGTTATCTTGTCTCAGACGTTTAAATATATCACTACAGATTCATTGACTAAAACCTGACAATATTTATTAATACAAAATATTAGGAGGGATAAATCACATTTCTACCTCCTTGCTGTTTGTGTTTCTGTAGTTGATACTCCAGATCCCTATGTGGAACTTTTTATCTCTACAACCCCTGACAGCAGGAAGAGAACAAGACACTTCAATAATGACATAAACCCTGTGTGGAATGAGACCTTTGAATTTATTTTGGATCCTAATCAGGAAAATGTTTTGGAGGTAAGTGAACCATTTGGATGCTGTTAGATGGCTGCCATTCATGTTGACAGATACGCTTGACCTTGTTCTTCTACTGCGTTCTTGTTCCTGTTAGCTATAGTTGGAGTTGGTCTGGGCAGCTTAGTCGACTAGAATCTAAATGGCGTCTGTCAAGTAACATGAGTGTCTATCAGGACACACAGGAGTTAGGCAGGGTTGGAGAGACTTTCCTTCTTCCCATGTGCTTTGGAGAAAATGTATTTTCTGCCCTAAAGGGGAGAATCACTGTATAACAGAATATAAATATTTTAAATTGCCTTCCAAAAAAGTGAAAATTATTTTTTTCCAAAATATTTGTATTGATTTTCTACATTAATATCTTTCTTATATTCCAAAGTAGAGAAGAGATAAAGTTTCATTTTTGAAAACATGATAATTGAATAAATCAATCAGGAAAATGTAAAAAAGTATTATATCAAACATAGTACTCAGAAGGTAAAGACTGGCTGCGTACTGTGGCTCCCACCATAGCACTTTCAGAGCACTGAGGCAGGCAGATCACTGGCAGTCAGGAGCACAAGACCAGCCTGGCCAACATGGTAAGGCCCTGTCTCTATTAAAAATACAAAAATTTGCTGGATGTGATGGTGCTCACCCATAATCCCAGCAACTCACGAAGCCGAGGCAGGAGATTCGCTTGAATCTGGGAGGTGGAGGTTGCAGTGAGCTGAGATCCCCCCACTGCGCTCCAGCTTGGTGAATGAGATTGAGTGAGACCCTGTCTCAAAAAAAAAGAAGGAAAAAATAAAAGTATTATTACCAATTAAATACTGAGATCTTCAAATGACTCTTAAATCATTTGAGAGCTTCATTATTTCAAATGTGGTGGAAATTATAGATGTAATTTCCAAGGATCCATGGGAAATTTTATTTTTGTGCTCTACCTTTTACTCTATAGATTACGTTAATGGATGCCAATTATGTCATGGATGAAACTCTAGGGACAGCAACATTTCCTGTATCTTCTATGAAGGTGGGAGAGAAGAAGGAAGTTCCTTTTATTTTCAACCAAGTAAGTAACACTGCAGAATTATTTTCCAGCCTTATGTTAGACAAAATCTATTGATTCTGGAAAGTTCAACACTTGGAAAATTGTATTTGTTTGTAGAATGTTTGCTGTTTAAGAGAAAATTTTGTTTTTATTTCGTGTCCTAATTTGTAAGATTATTCTGGTATCTGTAAACTTTGGTTTAGGGATTATACCAAACAGTGCTAAGACGTTAATCTCCTTTGTTTCTCCAAAGGATGACACTGGTTTTCAGCAGTGCCTTTGGGCTCCATTGGCAGATTTTATGCAAAAAAAAATTGGGAGGATAAAGAGAGATGAAAAACCTAAGAGGGATAGGAGAGAGCGAGAGAACGAGTAAACAAACTCAATGAAAAATATTAGGAAATTCAAAGCCTTCCAAGATCACGTTTGGTAGTAAATCTCTCTGGAGGACAAAGCAGCAAAAGGCCGGAAGGAATGATTGGAGGTTGTTGTTACCTTTCACTTTCTAGGTTTGCTGCATTTCTGAAATTTTGCTAGTGTATTTTGGAATAATAAACCTTAGGTAAAATTTTGTGTGCAGAATAAACTCATTGGATTTTGAATGCTGTAAGAAACGGACTTAGTAGTTTATAATAAGAAAGTAAATAACTGGTGCGCCTGTGTGTGTAAGGCTGGTTAACGTGCTAATTTCTTGTTCCTGGGAGAGACCATGTGTTTTCGCCAAGTCCCTCCACTCACTGAGAACCACCCCTCCCTTCACTCTCAGCTACTCCATGTTGCCTTTCCTGTTACGATCCCAAATGACTCTTCCTCCTTTGAGTCTCCGTGATAACTCTCCATGGTATTACTGGGACTAAATTATCTATACTGTTCAGTTTTTCATTTTCCTCTTGTAGACTAAAATCCTCTAGGTCAGGAAACCTGAAACACTGATTAAACGTGCCTACAGAATTAATGACATAGATGACGTTTATGGAATGAATGTATACCTATTTAGAAACCAGCGTAGCCCAAAGGAGTTTCTTAACCAGTCCATGTAATCAGAATGGCCCAGGTACCTTGAGGATACTCTGGTCCACGCACTCCTTGATGCTTCCACCTGCTGCAGAGAGCATTTCTTCTGTGTTATGTCAAGAGACACACTGCCCACAGTTCTGTCAACCCCTTTTAAAGCGATTTCATTCATTCCTTTTGCAAACATTTACTGAAGATCTGCTGTGTGCCAGTCATTGTGTTTTGTGCAAGGAATGTAAAGAATAAGGTACAGGAAATTCTTCCCTCCATTATCTCCCTGCGACACGGAGGTGAGTAAGCGTTGAAATGAGAAGTGGAAGTAGGGAGATACATACATGTGATAAAAAGAAATCCCCAGACAGTGAGATAAGTACCAGTGAGGCATGTATAGAGTGCTGTGGGAAGGCAGAGTAAAGAACAATCGTGTTGTGACAGGAGGCCCGTGTTGGCTCCATAGCAGTAGCTGATTTTGAACAAATTGAACAGTGAACTGTGGTTAACACCTTGGCATTAAAAGACAGGCTGTTTGGTGTTTAAATTCCAGCTCTGTCACTTGCCATCTGTTTTATTCTGGGAAAATAACACTTAACCCTTCTGTGCCTCAGTTTACTCATCTGTAAAATGGAAATAATATCTCCTAAGGGAATCGTTATGATTAAACAAGTCAATTTTATTTATGTGTATATAATATATAATATATAATATACTGTATATTATATATAAATATAATTATAATTAGATATATTTTATGGTTCAATATATACATTATATGTTACTTAGCTTAATATTAAGCATATAATTCAATAAGTGATTGAAAGTGATTAAAATATGTTAATACTATAAAGTAATTAAAATAAGCGATTAAAATGTATCAATACTTTAAACACACAGATGTATGCGTGTATACATACAGGGCTTAGAACAGTTTCTCGCACATATCAGGCAGTATATAAATGTTACTTGTCTTTGCTGTTATTACACCTTAAGAAAACAGCAGGATATCATCAGTAAAGAAGTTAGGCGCATTCTGGGCAGAGCGTATTGCAAAAGGCCAGAGTCTTGAAAGGAGAAAGCAAGCTGGGGCACAGCAAGGTAAATGGCTTGGCAGGTCCATGTTGCTGAATCACAGGGAAGAGAGTGTAGAGGGGGTCAAGGGCTGCACTTTGCAGGCTTACCTATTGCATGTTGCCAGCCTGTAAATGTCTCTCAGTAAATGTCTGTTGAGGACTTTGCAAGCATGGCTCGGACTTTCCAAAGTAATTTTTTTTTTTACTTGGTTCACTTTAATCCATGATACAAAGACTGCTTATAAGAGAAGATGTTGTGGACAGCATTCATTTCCTCTCCTCTGTCATTTCCGATGGCTGGATGTGTAATCCCCAGGGCTCTAGAGAGGCTTTCCACATTCCTGAATTTAAAGAAGCTTATGCAACTATTCTTTTTGGTGTGCCTGAGAAAATAGTTGTTCAAGCAAGCTTTTCTTCATTACTCTGTTTTCAGCCTCTCTGTATTTTTATCTGAATGATGATCTTTTGAGCTGTCGGGGTAGTTGGGAGAGAAGGAAGCGTGGTGGCTGAGGGGACAGTCCCCTGCTTGTTCCTCAGATCACGTGGGAGTGCCCTGTGCAAACCACCCAGCTATCCAGCCTCTGTCCTCAGCTCAGAATCCCAGTCTTCCCGATGATCTTTCTGCAGTGTTTACAGAGGTCGTAAGAGAGAGGAGGCGGTGAGGGAGCAGTGGGAGAGAAGAGATGTGAGCCTTGAAGATGGTTATGGTAATCTGGTAGAGGAAAAAGAGCACTTAGATTTGGTGAAGAGCGAACACATTCTTCAAGGCAAAATAGTATTAGCAAAAACTCTTGCATAGTTTTATCATCCAAAAGTTAATACTGAGTCAGCATAGAGTGATTTCTGTGTCCAGGAGACAGCTGGAGAAATAACAGGAGCTTCCAAATGGAGATGGGCAGATTCCCAGGGCCCTGCTTTACTCACTTGGAGTCGAAACTGGGAATTGGGAGAATGGACCCTCATTTTGTCTCTGTCATTCATATCTCTCCAGAATGTTTGAATTCTTATTCTTTCTTTCCGAGTCTCATTTTCTTCATCTGTAAAATGAAGGTTTAGGCTGAATTTTTTCTAAGCTCTTTTCTAATTTGTAAAATTTTATGATCTAGAAAGAATACCTTCTCTTCTTTTAAAACATCTTATTTTTATTTATATATTTTTTGAGACAGAATCTTGATCTGTTGCCCAGGCTGGAGTGCAGTGACACGATCTCGGCTCACTGCGACCTCTGCCTCCTGGGTTCAAGCCCATTCCCGTGCCTCAGCCTCACAGGTAGCTGAGATTACAGATACGTACCATCATGCCTGGCTAATTTTTGTATTTTTAGTAGAGACAGCGTTTCACCATGCTGTCCAGGCTGGTCGCAAACTTTGGGAGGCCTTGGCCTCAGGATTATGGTGGTAGCCACCACACCCAGCCTGTTTTATTTACGTGTACAGGTTTGTTATATGGGTATGTTGCAGGATACTGAGGTTTGAGCTTCTATGATCCTGTCGCCCAAATAGTGAACACAGTAGCCAACAGGTAGTTTTTCAACCCTCGCTCCTCTCCTTTCCCCACGTTTGGGGTCTCCAGTGTCTATTTTTCCCATCTTTATGTTCCTGTGTACCCAATGTTTAGCTCACGCTTAGAAACTTATAAGCAGAATACCTTATTTTCATTTGACCTTCTGCACCCAAAAGCTTTCGGTTCTTCATTTTACAGATATGGAAGCTAAATGATAATACTGCAAGAATAAACATCTATCATTGATATAGTATTATATAATTTTAAAATACTGACTTGTCAATATATTGTGTTATTTATTAATATGAGAATGTAAGCCTTTATTGTGCTCCTAAAATGTTGCTGAACATCAAAAAAAAAACTGCACAAAAGTACAATTTTCAAGGAACTAAGAATTTATTTGGAAAGTATACTTTCGTGTGTAAACTGACAGGTAATAATAATTAGTATCATGAGGCATCTAGTCATTGATTTACTTAAGAAGTTATTTACTAAGCAACTGTTATATTCCAAGTGGTATTCTAGGTGACAGGCAGTATCCTGGGGACTCTCCAGGGAGCTTGCATTCTAATAGGGAACGTACACAGGTGATGTTGGGCAAAAGAATGATCAACGCACCGTCAGCTAGTGAGAAAGACTATGAGGAAAATAAAGGTGTGCAATAGAAAACAGTTGGTGGGCAACAAAAGTTCGTATAGTCAGAGAAGGCCTCTCTAAAGCATTATTGTTCTTTAAATTTCATTATAAAAATGCTCAACGTATAAAAAGTTGAAAGATTTATACTGTGAACATCATATGACTGCCACCTAGACTCTATAATTAACATTTTACAAAAAATGTTGACGTTTCTGATGCATGTAAAAGTAAGTGGCTGGCAACAGTATACTTTACCCCTACAAACTTCAGCATGTCATTAACTAGAGGTTAATATTTATGGATGATAAATGGACAGTGCAGGTAATATGTGCAGTGAGATAAGGAGAAATTATTGATTCATTAATTTAATTTTACAAATAACTCTTGAGCCCTCACCAGGTAGGTGGTAGACACCTTTAGGCACTGCCTATTTCAGCAGGGAACAAAATGAACAAGACTCCATACCCTCATGGAGCTTACATTCTACGTAGCAAGACAGATGGAAAGCAAGGTAAATAAGTAAAAGACACTCCTGCTAGGTGATGATAATGACAAGTGCTAACTAAACTGGGGACAGAGAATGGGGCAGGGTGTGTATGTGTGTGAAGGAGTCACCAAGGCAGTTCCACAAATGTGGCTACGGAAGGCATCTCCGAGGATATCTGAGGACAGAAGGCACTCCAAGTAGAAAGGCTCTGAAGCAGTTCGCCTGGCAAGATGAGTAACAGTAGGAGAGAGTGGCTGGAGCATAAAGAAAGAGCGGTGGGGAGCCTGGGAGGAGATAAGTCGGAGAGGTGGAAGCATTTTACCAGCACGAAGAAAGAGGGGTGGGGAGACTGGGAGGGGATACGTCTGAGAGGTGAAAGCACTTTACCAGTGTCTCATCCCGTTTCTAAACATGCAGAATTTATTAGGTGTCGTTTGCATGTATTGATAGGGTTGTAATTTCCACTTTCTGCTTGGATCGCCTCCTCGTCGGATCCATATCCTGCTCCTTCTTTACAGGATCGAGATACAATGTACAGAAACATGATTCTAACTAAAAACAACCCTTTAAAAATGACTTTATTTATTATCCTGTACAGGTCAAGTAAATACGGACAAGGCCGAAAATATTATGTAATACTCTTGAAACGTGTGAATAATGATTGAATCAATATGATGATTAGTTGCTGTTCGTTTCTACCTAGAAAAAAAAAGAGTAAATGAACTCTAGGGATCAGAATTCAAAATAATGTTTTATTGAAAGTAAATGATGTAAATATTAGAACATATGAGAGAAATCATAGCATATTTGAAGAACTTTTTACTAATAGGATAGATTCTTAAATTTGAAATTATTTTGCTCTGTGCATCTTTTTTTATAATAATCATTTTAAAGCAGGGGTCCTCAACCCTTGGTTCCAGTCTACAGCAAGTTAGGACCTTGGCTGCACAGCAGGAGGTGAGTGGTGGGCGAAGGAGCAAAGCTTCGTCTGTATTTACAGTCGCTCCCCATCACTTCCATGGCTGCTCCGCCTCCTAGATCAGCAGTGGCATTAGATTCTCACAGGAGCGTGAACCCTATTTGAACTGCACGTGTGAAGGATCTAGGTTGCATGCTCCTTATAAGAATCTAATGCCAGATGGAAGTTCTAGTTGCAGGAAAACAAGCTCAGGGCTTCCACCGATTCTACATTACGGGAGTTGTATGATTATTTCATTATATATTACAATGTAATAATAATATAAATGAAGTGCACAGTAAATGTAATGCGCTTGAATCCCAAAACCACTCATCCCCCACCCGCCACCCTGGTCCATGTTAAAATCGTCTTCCACAAAACTAGTCCCCGATGCCAAAAGGGTTGGGGACTGCTATTTTAAAGCGCTTCCTTATTGTCAGGCACGATGCTTGTTGCTTTAAGCTTTATTATTTCAAAATGGCTCTGGAAAGTTTTCCAGATAATTAGTGGATTGGATCCTTTAAAAATTATTTTAAAGGCTGAAATGCCTTTTCGTTTTTATCGTTTGTCCCCTCCAGTTCTCCCCGTTCTCCTCTAACTGAAAATCTCCCATTGTGAACGTCTAAAATTGCTTTCCATGGGGAATTGCAAGGTGTCCTTGCTGCTTTTCACAAGAACACGTCAGGGACACAGCCTACTTCTTCCTAAAAAAGGTGGAGTTGTAATTAGTTCTCATTTAGGTATTAGGGTTCTGGGGAGAGCCTGGAAGAGGTGGTCACTCTTCTTTCTAATTGCCGTGATAATACAAGCAGGGTGGAAGCCTGTAATGCAGAGGTGCTTTATGCAGTGTGTGGGAAGAAGTTTACAGTAGTTGTTTAATGACTCACAGGAAGTACGTGTTTTTATCTGAATGACATGTTCTAGGTAAAAGGTGTAGAGAGACTGTTAACGTCTAGCTTATCATGCATAGCAGGTCTGAACATAGTGCACCAAATGAGAGGGTTTAAGTTTCCTCCTGGTTGTGGGTGACCCACTTGGGCAATGTGGAAGTGAGGATCCTAATCCATGTGACAAGAACCTTGCAGCACAGCCTGTAACATTCAAAATGGCGGAAGAATCCTGTGCCTTCTCTTCTGTTCTCCTGCCTTTGTTTAAAGAGTCTTGTCAGTCCATCCAGGATCATGAATGTCTTAGCCAAGAAATGTTGGTAGATACAGAAAGCGCGTGCTAACGGAGAAGACAAATTTCACTATGAACGTAGCATGGTTGATTTTCCTTTTATTTGTGGAGCTGTCAGAACAAACAGGCACTGGATATATTCAAGCACTGGAGATATATATATAATATAATATAATATAATATAATATAATATAATATAATATAATATAATATAATATAATATGTTTTGTTTATTTTTGAGACAGAGTTTTTGCTTTTGTGGCCAAGGCTGGAGTGCAGTGGCATTTTCCCAGCTCACTGCAACCTCCACCCTCCTGCCTCAGTCCCCCGAGTAGCTGGGATTACAGGGGCGTGCCACCATGCCTGGCTAATTTTTCTATTTTTAGTAGAGATGGGAGTTCACCATGGTGGTCAGGCTGGTCTTGAACTCCTGACCTCAGGTGATCCACCTGCCTTGGCCTCCCAAAGTGCTGGGATTACAGGTGTGAGCCACCGCACCTGGCCAAGCACTGGATATGTAATTTACAAATTGCTTAGAGGCCTGCCAGCTGGGAAGCCACTGTCTTCTTGAACACCTTCTGTCATGAGGTGGCACAATGAAAGAGGCCTTGAATCTTTCCATTTATTAGAAAACTCTACATGGAGTTGTAATATTGTTCATGTTATTTCCATCCAATCATGATGGCTTTACCCTCTGGAGATAAAAATATTAAATGTAGTGTCATTTTAAGGGCACTTTTTATGTATTTCTTGGGGAAAAAAAACAGACCATACTTTACCCATCTTGTTTTCTTCTAAATATCCAGAGTAACGTTATTCAATATAAAATGTTTTCCAAGCCCTCTTTGCCATACTCCAGTTAACATTTTGAAGTGGGAAACAGATGTCATGTTCTGGGTTGCGAGCTGAGCGGTGCTTCCATTGATAGAACTGACAGCAACTGCAACCCCTGTCTGGTAGCCAGCCACCCTTTGACATTACATTCATCTGGGCATGCATGACTTCCTTTTGTCCTGGGATTCTCAATTAGTTTATTAACTTTAAATATATGTATATGCTTCTTTGATGAATGAAGATTCATAGAATTCTATATATAGGAACTGCTGTCCGGGTCAACCATCCCATGATTTGCCTCCGGTAATCATCAGCTGTTTGACAAGAAAAGGTTGCCCAATGTGCTCCTTCTGACAAACACACACGAACAGTAATTTGACAGATATGTATTATCTGTTGTGTGCCAAATACTATACGATAAACTAGTAATAGGAACCTATACAAGACAGAGCTTACAGTTTAGTGAGAGAGACAAATTTGTGTAGGGACGACTTCAGTACCATTTGCTCACTCATAGAATTCAGCACTGAGAATCAGCCATCTATGAACTTACTTTAACCTTTTGGAAACCTGCTTCTAGTTTGTTTTTTTCCATTCCTTGAAACTCAAGAGGGTAAATCTAATAACCTATAGCTTTTTATGTTGATTCTAAAAATTTCCTCTTCATATTTCAAGAGGTATATCCTAGTTCTGTTCTACTTGAACCAGTTAGCTCTCTCTATGTCTTATATCAGTTGATGTAATAAAAATAACATGGTTAGAGTTGTATAGCAACTTCCAAAGCATTTCTCATTTGGTTCTCATGACAATCTACAGTTACATTTTTCATAGCTAATGCTAGGGATAATACTGAAAAGGCCTTTCTGTACAACAGATTTACAGTCTCTGGAAAGACAACTCTTAATATCTTAAGTAGATATTAGTCATTTTCTTTTCCTTTAGACCAAAATTGTCTCTCTGGCAGGACGCAGTCCTTTAATATATTTAATAGGCTTCAATAGTGTTGAAATAAATAAAACCAAGAGGCTCCATATCTTGTTAGTAGATGTTTCCTGAGCTAACCACAGTTGGCTGGACCCTAGGTCCTACTGCCTGCCATGAATGGGTGTTTTACTTCCAGCTTACTGCGGCCTGCACTTGTCCCAAATACACATGCGTAAACTTCCACCCAGGCTGTCTCTAACCTCAGGGCCATTACAGCTTCTGATTTTGTGGCCTGAGACAGCTCCTAAATAATAGACACAACATCGCAGTAGCTTTTATATCTCAGGCACTTTGTATGTTTTATAAATAGTAATTGTGAACTACTTTATTTTACTGAGGGAGGAAAACAACCAGGCAGAGATAATTCTTATGTTTGCTAAAATGGCTAAGTCGACTTATTAAAAAAAAAAAAAGTTGGTTTACTGATATGCACCTGTAGTTTAGGGTCTTCATGGAGCTGTGTTACTTTTATTTTGAAGGTTTTGTTTTTTAAGGTTAAAAATAATCTGGCACTCAAAATTTATTTTGAGTTTATTTCTATTATATAAAACACACATCTACTTTATGATCTAATCTGATTAATATATCTTTTTTCAGGTCACTGAAATGATTCTAGAAATGTCTCTTGAAGTTTGGTAAGTGCATTTATTTAATTAGATGAGAAATATGAGTGATCCACTAATTTATTTAAACTGTTAAAGGATATACTTTATATAAATACAATTTTGACAGCTTTGAACATAGAAAAGTGTATTACATTTACCTTTTTTGTTATCTGTTGATAGCTGCAGAATTTTTACAAACATATTCTTATATTCATTATTCTTTTATTTTAATATGCTTTGCTCATTTTTCCAATAGTTTGGTGGTCATACAATAATGTCAGAGCAAGTGCTTTTTGGAAGAGTCCTCCCTCTACTCCCATAGAAATGAATGTAGTTTTTAAAGCACATCTTCTATTGTTGATTCAGGTAGCTATTCAAAAACCCAGAAGTGAACATAAACAGGAAACTATAATCATATTTATAGAGAAAAACCTGAAAATTGAGACTGATTTTGTTCACAGTAAGCCAGCAGGAGCACTACTAATAAAGTTCCATGAATCATGCTGCTCTTTCAAAGTGGCCTCCAAAAATGAATATTAAGAAATCATGGACTTATTTTCAAGCGGTGAATTTTAGGGGAGGCAGGTCTGCTTTGATCTAACTGATCTCTGATGTAATAATGAGTTCCCTTAACCTCTCTGCATCTCTCTGAACTTCCCCGTTAAACTTGATTTGACCAAAATTACTAGTACATATTTTACACAAATGCCACGAAAATTAACATTTTCACATCTGGTGATTTGCCAAATGTATGATAATGGGTACGTTGGGTTTAGGAATTTATTTGTCTTATTTTGATCCCTGGAACATGTTGATTTGACTTAGTAAATGATTGGCATTTATTTCTACAGCCTATTAATATATGTCAGCAAATATCAAAGGATAGTCCAGGTTATTGTGGCATATTTTGTATTAAGTTCATTCTTGCTTAAAAGTGGTATATTATGGCATAAGATTAGAAACATTTTTTATTTGACTGACTATGGAAGTAATGCTTTTGTTTAATGGGAAATAGTCTTCACGAGGTAATTAGAACCATATTTTTATAATGTTAAAAACTTCTCTTTCTATATGTTAATTTATGTCAGCTCTGTAATAGAAATTGTTTTCAAGGAAAAATTCAATTTATTCAAAGAAAAATTTTCTACATAATACCTTCTATTAAAAATAACAAAATCAGGAAAGAATTAATTAGAAAGTTAAAAATAAGGCATAAAAGAAATAACCATAATTCCATTACTGCATTTATAAACTTACTCAGAATTTTTTGAATTTTCATCTAGATTTTAAAAGCTGGTATCTTTAGAACTTCTAGGTCATTATACTGTTCAAAATTATTTTTAAATCAGGATCATTAAAAAAAATTATATATAACAGCACAGTATATTACAGAGAACATGGCTTCCAGAACAATAAGACCTAGATTTAAATCGGCTAGTTGCTAATTATGTTAATCATTGATAGATTTCTAATCACTTTTTTACTCCCTGATGAAATAAGAAGAGAATACTTTCTAAGCATATCTACTGTGATTAAATGAGATGTTCTTTCTAAAGAGTATATATACAATAGGAAACTTTCACGCAGGTATACCACATGCTAATAATGGTAATAGTTTACAAAACACTGGAAATTATTTCAGTGTTTATGGATGAATAGATTTTAGTATGCTAATATAATGAAAATACTACACAACGGTAAAAATGTTTGGATTACTTCTATTTATATAAGCACAGATGATTCTCGAAAAACAAAGTGCTCATTGGAAAAAATGATTTGCCCTGATAGCATTTATGACAAAACTAGGAATCTTCAAAATGACTTTGTTATTTAGGGACGTAAGTATACATTGTAAAAGCATAAACAAATATATTAGAATGATAAAGATGAAATCTAAAAAGTGGTTACCTTTAAGAAGCAGAAAAGGAAATAAAATTGAGGAGGTTTCATATAGGCAACAGTACAGGCAAGATTTTAATTTCTTATAGTGGTTAGAAGATACCTAACCTAATATGTTATTATAAAGAATAGTAATAGGAAAAGAGCGTAGCCCAAGACTGGACTTAAAAAATGTTAACTCACTATCTTACTGTATTCCCCCTTGTTACATAATTTCCAAAATCAGATTTAGTGATTATATAACCCAATACTTTCATATACAGGTCAACAACCATTTCTTTAAAATATCTTTAAAAATTTTTGGTTACTTCCCTTAAAGTAGCTATCCAGAAATAGAATTAGGCTAAAAGGAATGCATATTCTAATTATAATTCAACATGCTATATTGCTAATATGCATAATTTGAATATTGCTTTTTAACAAACTTATATTCCCAAAACGTATGCATGAGAATATTAGTGTTATTTTAGCTTTCTAGCACTAAAAAACAAGTATTTAAAATATTTTAATAATAGTATCATTTAAATTCACTAGTGAAATTGTTTTTTTGTTATTAATTGTACTTTCTCTATTTGTCCTTTGGGAAGTAGTAATTATTGTTTGGAACGGTCATATATGATCATAAAGAAAATAGCTCAGAGGCTTAGCAGTCTCATTCTATATTTTACAAGGAGGAAATATACTGAACTAACATATATGAGATTTAAAATTGATTTGCAATTAAGGTAAGGACTTTTATGAATGGTAAAGAGACAAATATTTTATGGGTGATAATTCTTGACTTGTATATTTTGGATTTATTGATATTCCAAAATAGACTGATATATTTTTAAGTATTTTTAAATTCAGTAGTTGGTATTTAGACTTCAGTACTAAGATATGTCTGACTTGTTGCATGGTGAAAGTACATCACATGTGTGCTATGTGGTCCTACCCTCTCAGCATCGGTTTTCTCATTTATAAAGCTGCAATATATAATAATAGATTATATAATAATGTGTAGTGATTACTCCCATTGTTCTTGCGATGATTCATATGTAATACCTAATGTGGTTTCTGGCATAGTGTAGAGAAATTGCCGTTGCCTTTATTAACAAGGAGAAGTATATATAATTTAAGGGTTCTAAAGTCCTCTAGTTGTAAACTCATTTTTGGTTATCTCAAGTTCTGCAATTAGAAGTTCCTTTCTTTGTCAGAGGGGGGCATCCATCAGACAAGGCAATTAATTAAGACGGTATTTCTGCAAGTATGTTCCTCAGAATGCAGGCTCTTTGAGGTGTTAGGAAGTAATTATGATGGTGGAATAGTGAAGGGTGGAGAGATAAGGGAAGGAGTTCTTGGTCAAGTGGGTTTCGGAGATCCTGTACCAAACAGATATCAATGGGATTCTTTACTGAAGCACTTCCCAGTCTTTTTTATAATATTCAACTTATCAGGGACTGTTTGTTTGCTTGTTTATTTTATCTAAAAAATTGAAAACTCCTTTTTCTCTGAAAACATGCTGTGGAAAATGCTGCTTTAAGACAGGCATGAGTTTATCCTCTTATTTTAGGTCCCTTCTTAGGAAGTGGCTTGAGGGAAGCAGTCAGCATACATCCGTGTAGCTCGGAGGGACTTGGGGAGCTGGCTGGATGGAAAACCAGGCTACTGGGAGCACTGGCTCATGACTTTATCTGTTTGGTATTACAGCTCATGCCCAGACCTACGATTTAGTATGGCTCTGTGTGATCAGGAGAAGACTTTCAGACAACAGAGGAAAGAAAACATAAGAGAAAGCATGAAGAAACTGTTGGGTCCAAAGAATAGTGAAGGATTGCATTCTGCACGTGATGTGAGTTGGAAACTTTTCACATTATTATACTTTAATAATAATTTAGCTTGGACAATTTCTCCAAGAATTTTACCCAAATATGGCAATTTTGAGATTGAGCATTATTCCTTTAGTTTTTTTAAGGTAGGGTAATGATTTGTCAATGAAAACTCTAAGGAAGATCATCGCAAATGATGCCCTATTTGGTAACATTTATCAGCTATAGTTTTTATTTTTATTTTATGTTTTAGAGCAGTGTTAAGTTCACAAGAAAACTGAGCAGAAAGCACAGAGAGTTCCAATATACTCCTCTCCCCGCACAACCTCCCAAGTTTATTCAGCTTCTTCAGAGAAACAGAACCCAAAGATATACACAGTAGATATGAGATTTATTATGAAGCTTGGCTCACATGGTTCTGGAGGCCAAGTAGTTCCACAATATGTCATCTGCAAGCTGAAGAACCAGGAAAGCCAGTGGTGCAGTTTAGTCTGAGACTAAGGTACACCAAGGGAGTGACTCCCAGTCAGAGACGGGGCAGTGGGGGCAAGAGGTGGACATCTTGGAGTCTGAAGGTACGAGAGCTAGGAACAACGGTGTCCAAATGCAGGAGAAAAGGGATGTCTCAGCTCAAGCACAGAGAGAGACTTGCCCGCCTTCCACCTTTTGTTCCCCTCCGGTCCTTCAAGGATGGAATGATGTGCACCCGTTGGCGTTTACTCAGTGTGCTGAGTCACATATTAATCTCTTTGGAGAACACCCTCATGAGCACCCCCAGAAAGAATGTTTTTCTAGTGATTTGAGTATCCTTTAGTCTGGTCAGGCTGATAAATAAAATTAACGATTATACTCCCTATCAACATCTCACACCAGAGTGGTACATTTGTTACCATCAATGAAAACACATTGACACATCATTATCACCCAAGACGTAGTTTACCTTAGGGCTCACTGTTGGTGGTGCGCATTCTGTGGGGTTTGGACGAAGGTGTAATGACACGCATCTACCATCATAGTATCATACACAGTAGATCACTGTCCTAAACATCCTCTGTGCTCCACCTATTTATCTCTCCTCTCCCCCTTGGCCCACTGATACTTTTGCTTTTACTGTCTCCGTAGCTTTGCCTTTTGTCAGTTTGCCTAATATCATATAGTGGGAATCATACAGTATGTAGCCTTTCCAGATAGGCTTCTTTCACTTAGTAATGTGAATTTAAGTTTCCCCCTTGTCTTTTGATGGCTTGGATAGTGAATTTTATTTTAGAACGAAATAATAGTCCATTGTCTGAATGCACCACACTTTATTTACTTATTTATATATATGTATTTTTCAAAGGCACACTTATATATGCATACAATGGTGTTTATTTTATCAATAGGAAAAGTTTAGTCTCAGATGTAAAAGGATTAAACTTACTTAATTTAAATGTAGGCTAAAATTAAACTGGAAATCATCATTCTAGAACAAGAAGAAAATGCCGTAAATCTTGTTAATAATAATGCAATTAACAAATGTAGGCAGACATGATGGAAGAAAAAAGAAAATGGTCCAAATTCTTTATGTTTTGTAGTAAAGTTAAATGATATCAAAAATTGACCAAATCGTACTTTCAATATTTGTTTATAAATATATGTGTATTTGACTTCGTAATTAGGATTATAAATCATTTCTTAATGATTTTTATAATCCTCCATATTATATATTTCTCCATAATTAGGATTATAAAAATCATTAAGATGAAGAAATGATTTATAATTCTAATTATGGAGAAATATTAGAATACACATATATTATAAACAAATATTTAAAGTATTATCCTTCAATTCTGTTTCTTTTTCTTCTCTTAAATTCCAGTAAAATATAACATGATTTGTATTCAGTCATATGTCTTTTGGCTACCTATAATCTACTTTTGGTACCTATCCATTCATTTATTTCTTCTATGTATCTATCAATCACCTATCAAATCGCTTATCTACGTTTCTCTCTCTCTCTCTCTCTCTCTCTCTCTCTCTCTCTCTCTCTCTCTCTCCCCCCCTCCCCCTCTATCTGTCCATCTTTCTATCTGAAACCTACCAAGATTAATTGCTGCAATGACGCTCATCAAATGATAATGAAGTTTCTTGTTAGTGGCATATCAGGTAATTTTTTACTTATTTTTTTATTTGAGCTTTTCTGTTAATTGAATACATCAAGTGAATATAATTTATTTTCATAAAAATAATGTTTTAATCAAATACATCAGTAAACATATATGCATAGTATACTCTTGAATTATTTATTGTAGGAATTAATTTCCTTAAATTTTTCATAAAATAATATCATAATTAATTCTTGTAGGAATTCAGGATTATTGCAAATTAAAGGCAGAATACAACTGGAAATAAGACATACATTCTGAGTAAGGGAGCCAAATGACCACGCCTGTCCCACATGTGGTTGCAGATTTCCAAATATGTTTCAGGTGTGCGTAGGGTTCAGAAGCCAACCTACTAATGCCAGAGTGGCTTGCGTTGTTATGGGAGTAGATTCTAAGTTAAGATGCTGTTTAAGGGGAATTTTTGCTTAAAGGAAACTAAGGAGAGAAGTGAAACCTTCATTTAAGTTTATGTTTTAGAAAGAGGGAGACTTCTCTTCAATCCTGCATCTACCATTTTGTTTTGTTTTGTTTTGAAGAAAGGGTCTTGCTTTGTTGCCCAGGTGGGAGTGCAGTGGTCCAGTCATAGCTCACTGCAGCATCAAACTCCTAGCCTCCCACATAGCCAGGACTATGGATGATGCCATTACACCCAGATGATTCGTGTGTGTGTGTGCATATATATATATATATATGTATAGTTTGTTTTGTTTTGTTTTTCCTAGAGGTGGGGTCTTGCTATATTGCCCAGGTTGGTCTCAAACTCCTGGGCTCAAGCAGTTCTCCCACCTCTGCCTGCCAAAGTGCTGAGATTACAAGCACAAGCCACCATGCCTGGCCAAATCCTGTATCTTGCTTGTCACTGTAATAGATCCCTGTTAGAATGTGTGGTTATCTTGTCAGGCTAATTAGTTCTTGAAAAAACTGCTTTCTCTATACATTCTTCAGAAATTTCTAGCTTCTCTGAAGCTTTTAGTGTGTGTATGCGTGTTTCTTTTAATGTAGATAACGTTTCAGTAGCAATTCTACAACTTTTTTTTTGGTCTCCATCCTTATTTGGTATTGGTATACCCTCAAAACAGAAAAATGATATTACAAATTCATTTCATTTCTAACACTGGTTATTTATTGAGGTACTGTGCTAGGTGCTAGAAAAGAATAAAGCTGAGATAGCTAGCCCTGAGGGGTTACTTTCCTTAGTGATTTTTAAAGCCTTGTTTGGAAGAATGATATTTAAGCAGACAAAACCAACGATGTGTTAAGTTCTTAATAAAGAGATGTGAACTGAGGGATATGAATAATTGCAAGAAGGTGACTCACTTTCTGTCTGCAGTAGAGATGATAGAAATTTCTTTCAGAGTTGAAGACTGTTGGCCATGCCTTGAGGTATGAGCTTGCTAGAAGAACAATTAGGAAATTCATACTTCTTTTAAGTCAAGATTGTCAACTTTGTGAGATCGTGCCTTGCAATCTCAGAGTTTCCCTGCCTAATTGCTTTCATTATTTGCAACAGTTATTTTCTTTACTGCTAACAGCTGAATATTTCCTGTTCTCCTCGCAACAGATAGTCCTGTCTCTTAACGAAAGAGAAATAAAAAGTTAGGAGATGAAGAATGCTTCATTTCTTTCTATGGAATTGACATACTCCATAACCAATGCCTGTCCTTTAACTTCCCTCCTAGTTCAATGGAGAAACTATTCCCTTTGCTTTCAAATGCAGATGGCCATCAGATACGGATCCTAAGCTCCTCTTGAGAACCCCGATGTAGCTACTATTCATATTTTCCCAGGTCACTCTTAACCCGTATTGTCAGCATCTACCTGTGGATATTTCCTATAAAAAGATAAACATGTTCTAAACTCCGATATAAAAAGAAAAAAAGAACAAAAACCATTTCTTGGATTCTGTATTCTCTCCTCCCTTCTGCTCTATTTCTCCCCTTACCTTCACAAACGTCTCCAGAATTTTCTGTACAAGCTCATTCTCTACCTCCTTTAGTCAGGAGTACTACTAAACGCACAGGATCTTGTTCTCGCCCTAGCTTACCTAACCTTGCAGCTGCAAATGACACGCCTCCTTACGCTTTGAAACATCGTCTGCCCTTCACTTACTACCTCTTCGTGATCTTCGTCATGCCTTTTTGGTGTCCTTTACCAGCTCTTCATCATCTGAGCATTTCTTAAATATAGTAGTTCTTCAAGTCATAGTCCTAAGTCCTCTTTATCTCCATTCTATTTTCTATTTTTTTTTTTTTTGGAGATAGGGTTTTGCTTTGTCATCCAGGATAGAATGTAGTGGCACCATCTTGGCTCATTGCAGCCTCGACTTCCCAGGTTTAAGTGATCCTCCTGCCTCAGCCTGCCAAGTGCTGGGATTACAGGTGCATGCTACCATGCTGCATGAGAAATACACTTTTCTAGGCAATTGGGATTTAAATCTAGGATTCTCAGCAGGGTGTGGTGGCTCTCACCTGTAATCTCAGCATTTTGGGAGGCCGAAGCAGGAGGATCAAGACAAGCCTGGCCAACATGGTGAAAACCCATCTCTACAAAAAATACAAAAAAATTAGGCGTGGTGGTACACACCTGTGGTCCCAGCTACCTAGAAGGCTGAGGCAGGAGGATCGCTTGAACCTGTGAAGTAGGGGCTGCAGTGAGCCAAGATGGTACCACTGTACTCCAGCCTGGGCGACAAAGTGAGACCTTGTCTCAAACGACAACGACAAAAAGCAATTTCTCTCTGGCTTATGATGTCACCTAACATCTGTGTGCTAAGGACTTTCACATGTAGATCAACAACTTAGAACCTCTCTTCTGAGCTTCAGATCTAAATATCTACACTCACTTGACTTCTTTACATCTCACACTCTGCCTGTCTAAAG